TGTGATGCCACAGCACTCTACCCAGGGGGACAGCTTGAGGCTCTGTCTCAAAAAAAAAAAAAAAAAAAAAGAAAGAAAAAAGAAAAGAAAATCTCTAGAACCTGTCCTGACTTGGATGGCATGAGGAAGAACGGAGAAGGTGCCCATCTCTCCAGACACTCTCCTCAGCCCTGGCTGGGTCTGAAAATCCCTGATGTAGAAGAACATTTCTCCTTGAAGGCCAACAGGCGTACAGCCTTGAGCCTCCTCATCCTCCGAGTCCTCTTGGGGTGAAGGTGGTGTCTTACTTGAAAAGGTCATCCAAGGGAAAGAGGCAGGAAAACTGGGAAGCTGGTATATGTAATCCACGTGAGCAGTGAACATGGGATTCCCAAGAGTCGTTTGGGGGCCTACACCATAGCTATTATAATTTATGTCTGAATTTAAAAATTTGAGACAAACACGACACGGGGTCAAGATTTAATAAACATGAGAGTACGGATGTTTGTTCTGCACTCAAATAAATGTTCACTCTATTATTCTTTGCTCTTATCAGGACACGGTAAGTATTTCACCATAAGAAAACAATTAAAAGAAGCTATCAGCCATTTGCATGGCAGGATGGGTAGCATTTGAGGGGCAGACTTTGGGGAGGATGAGGGACACCACGAGGCCCTGAGCTTTGGAGCTGGAGGAAGGAGAAGGGAAAGGCACAGAGCAGGGGAGGCTGCAGGTCCTAACCCTAAACTGGGTCTACTTTTCAATGGTGTCTAAAATTCCCTCCAGGGACTGTCCCCACCAGATGTCAAAGTGTATCATAAGGCAAGAGCCAAAGCAAGCCTTGAATCGGTTCAAGAATAGAAAAGTAGATCAACTGATAAAACTGTAGCCATGAGCAAATTAATGTACAAATGAGAACTTAGTGTATGACAAAGGTAGTGTTTTTAACCGCAGGAAATAAATATATAGTATTTATCGGGGATAAATATATAGTATTGAGACGATCAACTAGACACTAAAGAAAAAACTACCGTAGATATATAAAAATTTCCCTTAAATTGAGGTACTCCTCCTGGCTTCCTAAGCAATCTCTCTTTCCCCACTTGGCAAACATGAAGGCTGAGGAGGCGCATGATGAAGTAATTTACTCAGGGATACACAGTCAAAAAGTGGTCAGATGAGCAAAAGGCACCAATTCAAAGAGGAAAAATGACAGATAGAAAATGCAGTGAGTGATCACATGTGGTCTTGCATCTGACAAAGATCATAGCTCCAGTTTTTTTTTTTTTTTTGCTATAAACAGAATTACTGGGAAAATTGGTGAAATATAAGGTCTGCAGATTAGGAAATAATATTGTGTCAATGTGTATGTCTTGTATTGTGATTATGTAAGAGAGTCTTCTCATTCTTAGCAAACACATACTGAAGCATTGCATCAAAAGATGAAGGGGCATCATATCTGGAACTTTCTCTCAAATGATTGAGAAAATTTTATACATAAAATTCATATATATATATAATATATCATTGTAATAAATATAAGAGAGAACATGGGTGCAAATGTAGTAAAATGTTAATAATTAGACATACAGGAATTCTTTGTACTGTTATTATAATTTCTATATACATCTGAAATGATTTCAAAATTAAAAAATTATTTGAAAGGTCACCTTACCCAGGGCTTCTTAATCAAGGCCATGTCAGAACCATCAAGGGGGTTATTTTGAGGAGCTGCAAAGCATCTAATGAATGTGGTGGGTCATGGTCTCTGTAAAACCTGCCCCAGGTGGGTACCTGGGGCTGATGGGGGATATGGCTTCCTCGTGTCCTCACAGGGCCCAGTCAGAATCCTGCCAGCCTAAAGACAGGAGATTGTCAGCTTCTGCCTTTATCCTGGGGACTTACTGGGGCTTACTGATCAAGAGAGGAGAACCAACAATGGGTAATTCGACTGAGACTGGCTGACAGCTCAATTTCAATCCACAGGATACTCTAGAAAAGACTGTGGTAAAGGGCCAGGACGCTGCTCACAGCTGAGATCTGAGGGAGGGAGAAAAGATTTTGTTCTTGTCTTTAAAAAGCAAACAACTTTGCTATTGTAGAGGCAGCTTAGCATAATGAATAGAAGCTTGAGTTCCTGAATCAGAGAATCCTGAGTTCTTATCCCCATTCTGCCACTCACTCTATAACCTTGGGCAAGTCACTTCATCCCTAAGACTGTGCTTCTCCACCTATAATAAAAACAGATCTACCAAAAGCAGAGAGATTAAGTGGAAGGCACCTGGAGACAGACCACTTGTCTGTCTTGCCACAGTCTTCAAATCCCAGTCTTGCCACATTCTTGCTGTGTGACCTTGTGAAACTTACCAAACCTCTCTGTGCTTTAATTTCTCCCCTTGTAAAATGGCAATAAGAAGAGCATCTTCTTCAAAGAACTATGTGGGTGTGAGGAGTTAAACATGTGAGAAACACTTCAGTCTCCTTTGATAGTTCCTCTTCATCTCCCCAATGTCTTAACTTAGAGCTCAATCTTTGACCCTCTCCTCACTTCTTGGGCTTAGAACACCATCATGCTGATTATTTACAAATGCAAATCTTCAGTTCATTTCCCTCCTCTAGACATAAACTTTGCACACTGAAGGGCTAGACCAATGTCTCCATTAAGATGCCTAACACGGCCTTAAACCTTTCACGTCCAAAACTGAACACTTGACCTTTGCTCCCCCAAAGCTGCCTTCCAGGATCTTCATATCTAATTTCTAGTAAGTCTAATCTTTCTATTTGCTCAGGCTAAACTCCTTAGGGTCAAGCATGGTGTCAGCGCCTTCAGCGTATACCTAGACTACAATGGCATCTCACCACCTCCACAGTGACCACACTGTCCGAGTCCCCATAGCCTCTCTCCCTGGACCTATGAGCCAGCTGCCTCGTCTCCTGCTTTCTCTCTTGGCTACCCCCCTAATCCCTCGATTCCCCACATGGCACTAGGAGTAATCCCATTCAGCCAGTCCTCTGTTCATGTCCTCTTCTTCCTCTGTCTCCTGGAGTCTGTCCTCGGCCCACTCACCTCCTGCCTCACTTAGGCACACATCACCTCCTAACACCACATTCCCTTCTCTGCCTGTTATCTGCCTCCCCTCCCCCCCAAAAAATGAGGCCTTAAAAGGACAGAGATCATAGCTGTCCTGTTCATAGCTTTGCCCCTAGAGCCTACAACAGAGCCTGACTTAATAAAAGTTAGCCTGAATTATATTATGTTTAACTACTTAGCCAATATTACCTGGCAGAAAAAGAATAGATTTGAACAACTACGCTTTATGCTAAGAATCACCGCTAAACAATGTCTGGAGATCATAAATAAACAAGATAAAACTTACATGTAGGCTAAAAGTACAACTTTAGGGCTATAAAGAAAAACCCACAAAAATCACATTTCTTGTCATAAAATGAGGGTGGATTTTTTCTATTTTCTGATTATTTATTTTTCTAATGGCTGCTTTGATAAAATAAAATTTTAACCTATTAAAAATAACTGTAATCTAATTTCAAAGTGTTCAATCTCACGAGAAACCAAGAGGATGGGAATTCAAATGACAAGATCTCTCAATACACGGGTGGCAGTGAGAATAATGGAACAGCCACCATTTGGAGAGCAATCTGGTCATGGTTATTGATATTAATTCTACTACTGCTCAGCATCTACCTACAGAGACACTTTTATTTGTGCAGAAGTGGATCTGTTACACAGAATGTACTCAAGTATCATGTATTTCCAGAGGAAAATTTACAAGTAACCTGAATACCCACCATTAAGTGAATGGTTAAATAAATCCATACTGTGGACAACCGTGCAGCCATGAAAGAGAATACGGTAGACGTACAAATGCAGAAAGAATCCCCAGGGCAGGTGGTTAGGTGAAAGATTCAAGTTATTGAACAACATATCCACTGGCTATGACATGTGATTTTTGAAGTAATATCTTTCTGAGTCACATATATGTCAGTAAACGCATGAAAAGTGGAGAGCAAGTAATTCACTTGGGAGGCAGGGGTAAGGCAGTGAGTGGAATGAAGTGGTAACTCAGGAAGATTTTATTGATAGTATTTGAATTCATGTGTGCCAGGAAAATCAATGCATAAAGCACTCATGTAATTAAAAATAGACATTTTTAGACCAGGTGCAGTGGCTCACATCCATAAACCCAGCACTCTGGGAGGCTGAGATAGGTGGGTTGCCTGAGCTCAGGAGCTTGAGACCAACCCTAACCCTAACCCCTTCACAAAAGTGAGACCCCCATCTCTACTAAAAATAGACAAACTACCTGGGCATTGTGGCAAGCGCCTGTAGTCCCAGCTACTCTGGAGGCTGAGACAAGAGGATCACTTGAACCCAAGAGTTTGAGGTTGCTGTGAGCTATGACGCCATGGTACTCTATCCAAGGCACAGAGTGAGGCCTATTTCTAGATAGATAGATAGATAGTTTTAAATAAGGGGCAATATATAATAAGTCCCCCATGCTCAACCACCCAGCAGTCCTCCTGTGAACTCACTTCTTCTGTTAAGCCCTTCATGGGTGGTCCACCATTGAGCGCTTCCTCCTATGAGCAAAGATGGGAAGGAAAATGGATTTAAGGGCAGGAAGAAAGGGGATTTTTAGAAGGGATGAGGGAATGGTGAAGAGGGAAGGCAGAATGAAGGAGAAATGCGAAGGGAAAGAGAAGGAAAAACATGTTAGAAAAAGACACCGAGTCAATGGGAACACTCTCCTCCCAGTCCTACACATCTCCATCACTGCTTCTCTCTTTCAAAGATCACTCTGCTTAGGACACAGACCCGTGGGAGTTAAAAGAGAAAAAGCATTTTGCATTTTAGATAAAACCTAGGACTTCCAACTGCATGACAGCACCAGAAAGGACTACTGGAGTTATTTTCACGCTCCCTGGCTCTTAATTTGTCCTGTTAACAAGAATTTCTTGGAAACTATGCCTTTGTTAAATAAATGTACCTGCTCTTCACAGTGGCCCTACATTCTATCCTTCCAATAGACTGCAGCAGGAGGCAGCTGGCCATAAAGGTGGCTGTCAACCTCAGTGGGACATCAGAGTCCCACAAGGGCTTGTGCAAATATCCATACCCAGGCCCCTCCCCATTCAACTGGATCTCTGGAGTTGGGGGCAGTACAACAATATTTTTCAAAGCTTCCTAAGTGATTCCATATTCAGCTGGAGTTGCAAACACTGCTTTAAAGCTTTCTGATGATCCATTAGATCATCTACTAAAATCAGAAGTGGCAAATTTTTCCCTGCATATAACATCCTCACCTCATCCCCAAAAGGTTTGTGGACAATGAAATTTGGAGTCCTAATGCTGTTTCCATAGGAAGAAAATGTATATTAACCACCCAACACTCTATCAGTCCCAACCTGTACCCAGCAAGAAACTAGAAGTAGGTGGGGTTCCAGGCCCCAGTGCAGTCACCACTGAGCAATGTGGTTTGGGCACTTTCCATCTCTGTGCCTCAGTTTCCCTCCTTCAGAATAGAACTACAATCCCTC